TATAGGTCATGTTTTGGGTGCACCAGGTCTTGTCTTGGTTGAATTACGCTGATAACCAGGAATTCCTTAGTTCAGTTTGTCATTAATTATTTCCTACTATTTTTCTATTAATATTCTTCTCTTCCTTATCCTGGCAGTTGCGTTTATCTCCTAAACCCCTACTTCAGTGTTTATAATCCTAGACCCTGTGTGTGTGACTGGGATGGTCTCAGTATCGCTGCTCCAGGTGGATTTCTAGTAAAATCAAATTTTGGGTCTGTTTAGATGGTTACAGATTTTTACTTTCCTATGTGCTTTAGGTCAGAATATGAAACGTGAGTCTGGAAGAAAAGTCCAGACTGGGAACATCACTGCTGCTAAGGTACTGTATTACTATGCGAGTATTATTTGAATTTAAAAGGGGAAAATTGATTTGGAGGGTTTTTCTATAGTCTGGAGTCTAGAAATGAATGAGCCTAGAGTGTAGGAATGAATTTTCAGGGTTAAAAATGTTCTTCCTCTTTGTTTTTGCTTCTTTTCTCGTAGACTATTGCTGACATCATCCGAACATGTTTGGGGCCAAGAGCTATGATGAAGGTGAGAACTCCTGAAATCCCTGTGCCCGGAATGGGCTAGGAATATGGCACGGATCGCTGCAAATATTTCTCCCCTTCTGTTGCAGATGCTTTTGGACCCTATGGGCGGGATTGTGATGACCAACGATGGCAATGCTATCCTTAGAGAGGCAAGTTCCTCCTGGAGGACTTTGTTTAAAATATTTGCTACAGTTGGGTGGAATCCCTTTGACTCTCTAAAAGGTCTGGTACTTGTCCCATTGAGTAATACAAATAAAAATATATATATTTTTGACCAAAAGCCTTGTTCCCTCCCCTGCAGATTCAGGTCCAGCACCCAGCTGCAAAGTCCATGATTGAGATCAGTCGCACTCAGGATGAAGAAGTTGGAGACGGGACCACGTCTGTAATTATCCTTGGTAAGAAGAATGACTAAAACGGGTGCCTTTTATGAAAGGGTAAGGCTGAAGTTTGTCCTGGTTCAGGCAAATTTAATTACCGCATTTGATAGCGGGTATTTGTGATTAATATAGTTCTACTTCTTGGTCAAGCAGTTACGTACTTTGTCATCTGAGCAATTAGCAGCAAAACATTCTGCTTCTGCTCTCAGGTCTTTGGTTATACACACAGGAGTTGCACTGAAGCTTGTGTCCTCTATGTATCTGCTGCTGCTTTTCTCCCCTTGTTTCTCACCCGTGTTTGCTCATCAGAACCCAGAGTGTCTTGATGAGCCAGAGGGTTGTGATTTCTCTTCCCTACAACGTTTTTAACAAACAAACATGAAGGGTTTCGTTAGGTTCATTACACACTTGTTATGCGGCCAAGCTCTCTGCTTTGGGGGGGCTGTGTTATTTCCCCGAGATCAGCACAATTAAGTACAAAGAAATGTATGGGTTTCATTTGCAAACCATAGGGGAAACATATGGAAATGTATCCGTGCATCACAAGCTCTCTGCACCGATAGCAAATCCTTTTTGTCCACGCTGTCATCACGATGATTGTTCTGCTCACTCACCTGGGGGACTCTGTTTGTTTAGCTGGAGAGATGCTCTCCGTTGCCGAACACTTCCTCGAACAGCAGATGCACCCGACTGTGATCATCGGAGCTTATCGGAAGGCCCTGGATGACATGATCAGTATTCTAAAAAAAATTGGGTAAGTCCGAGCTGCAGGAAGGGGTACAGGGTTTTATTACTCTTTAAAAATGATACTTCAGGGAAACACACTAGTAAGATACAATTAAATGTAATTAAAGAAGGCTGAAATGGAATTATGACTAGATTATAGCTTGGAGTAATACTCAACTTACTGCTTTTTCTCGTCTCAGCACTCCAGTGGATGTGAACAACAGAGAGATGATGCTTAAAATAATCAAGAGCGCTATAAACACCAAGGCAATAAACCGTTGGTCTGACCTGGCCTGCAGCATCGCTCTCGACGCCGTCAAGACTGTGGAGTTTGAGGAAAACGGCAGGAGGGAAATCGATATCAAGAAATACGCTAAAGTAGAAAAGGTGAATGTGTCCTGGGCCGTTTCTTTCCCTTATTCCAAAGCAGTTGCGTGGAGGATACGCGTTAGGACATGCAAGCTGCAAACCCAGGAGCACAGATCCACGTGTTCTCCTAGAGTGGAATAACTCACCTTGTTTTCCCCCCGTTTCCCCCTTTCTGGTGTCAGATTCCCGGTGGTTTTAGTGAAGACTCGTGTGTTTTGCGTGGCATCATGGTGAATAAAGACGTAACTCATCCCCGGATGCGGCGCCTTATCAAGAATCCCCGCATCGTCCTTCTGGATTGCTCGCTAGAGTACAAGAAAGGAGAGAGTCAGGTAAAGCAAGTCCTGTTAGAGGTATCCACAACTCGTAAAACTAGGGAAGTGGACAAATCCATGAGCAACTCGAGTGGCAAACAGTGCTCTCTGTCACCTCTTTTTGAGGCAAAACCTGTTTCTCTGCTGAGCCCCAGCAGAATTAGCCTAAAAGATCAACTCTGGTTGCTCAAGTGGGGGGAATAATCCCTGTTTAACCCAGTGCAGGGCCAGGAGGAGAGCATTAAGGTTTTGACACCTCTTTCTGCGCAGACCGATATTGAAATCACCCGGGAGGAAGACTTCGCCCGCATCCTGCAGATGGAGGAGGAGTATATCCAGCAGATCTGCGAGGATCTGATCCGCGTCAAGCCGGACCTGGTCATCACAGAGAAAGGCATCTCCGGTAATAACCCTTGTGATTCTTATTTACATCAGCTCACAGCAAATAAGGCTGATTTTGTGTTAACGTGCACTGTCTAATGATTAAAAAAAGGAAAAAGAGTCTGTGAATGACCCTGTTGCTCTAGCAGACCGTAACCCCCTCACTGGCATTTTGCCTTGCAGCTTGGCTGCGGTGTTAGGTGTTCAGTGAGAGGCAACGTTTAGGTGTTTCCGTGGCCCACGATGGGTGTCTAAAACAGTAGCACATTTGTAACCATGCTGCTGTCTGCTCCATGACACTACCCCATCCTGCTTGCAGACTTGGCGCAGCACTACCTGATGAAGGCCAACGTCACGGCGATCCGCAGGGTGAGGAAGACGGACAACAACAGGATCGCCAGGTAACCGGAGCGGGGCCGTGGCACGGGTTGTTCCGCTTGTACCCCGGCCTCCCTGCCCGTGTGTCGCTCAGGGCGCTCGTCCGCGCGTGCCGGCGCTGCGGCTCCTCTTGGGGGGACGTCGCGAGCGCTGCGTGTGCGCAGGGCCTGCGGCGCTCGCATCGTGAGCCGCACGGACGAGCTGCGCGAGGAGGACGTGGGCACCGGAGCCAGGCTCTTCGAAGTGAAGAAAATCGGAGATGAGTATTTCGCCTTCATCACGGACTGCAAAGACCCCAAGGCCTGCACCATCATCCTGCGCGGAGCCAGCAAGGAGATCCTCGCAGTAAGTTGCTCCGTGTCCGGTGTTCCCTCCTGGCGCGCGAGTGGAGCAGGCGCCCGTTTCCTTGGGGATTCGGAGCGACAAAATTCCCCTGTGCTGCCGCCGAGGGAAACCTGCACACGAGGCCTTGGGCCACAGGTTATTTTGCGCTGCTGAATCCGCCGGTTTCTGTGCGCGCAGGAGGTGGAGCGGAACCTGCAGGACGCCATGCAGGTCTGTCGCAACGTCCTCATCGACCCGCAGCTGGTGCCCGGCGGGGGCGCCACCGAGATGGCCGTTGCGCACGCGCTGACCGAGAAGTCCAAGGGCATGACGGGCGTGGAGCAGTGGCCCTACCGGGCGGTAGCCCAGGCCTTGGAAGTCATTCCCAGAACCCTGATCCAGAACTGCGGAGCTAGCACCATCCGCGTGCTCACCTCGCTCCGGGTAAGGCGCCAGTCACGGGATCCCCCGAGGGACGGAGCCTTTCTGCCCTTTCCCAACCTGCAGATCCGCCCTGATTTATCCCAGCTTTTGCTACACGGGGTGCTGCTTTTTTATAGTTACAACAGGGTTTTTTACACCAAAGGGAACTTTTTTGAACTAACCCACCTGCTGAAGGTGATGAAAAAATGGGGTTTTGGGGTGGTAAAGGAAAAATTTCTTGACAGTGAGGGTGCCAGAGCCCTGGAACAGGCTGCCCAGAGAGGTTGTGGAGTCTCCTTCTCTGGAGATCTTCAAACCCGCTTGGCCGCAGCCCTGTGCCACGTGCTCTAGGTGACCCTGCGTGTGCAGGGGGCTGCACTGGATGATCCCTAGAGCTCCCTTCCAACCTCAACCATTCCATGATCCAATGATTCTATGATTTTGCATTAGGTGGCCTACAGCATTTTAACTGAAGCTTTGTGGCAAAACATGGAAACAGGAAGGGGGAATGAAGTAGCTTGATGCCTCGGTTCAAATGTGAAGACGAACAAAATTGAAGGTTCAACCGTTGCGATTAGGGTGGGAGGCTCGAGGTGGCAGGGGTTGCTCCAGGTCGGATACTTTGCTATAAACCCTGCAACTGAGAAAACATTAATGATTTCTAATCCCGCCGGTGAGCGA